AACATGGCATAAAAATTTCAAGGAATAGATTGAATAATATAGATTCAGAAATCGTTTTTGTATATTTAAAAAAAAAAATTTGATACATAAAATGGTATTTTACATTATTAGCCAGGTAAAACAGTTTTTACTGGTGATTGAAGGAAATGACTAGCGAGCCGTCAGGTGAACTTGTCACCTTCAAGAGGCAGTAAAAACTGATACCTGGCGTATGATGTAGAATAATTTATTTGTTACTCATTTGTAAACAATAAATAAAAAATTAATACATAGGTAATACAATTTTAATAAATAATTCTACTGACCCTACTGACTTGTAAAAAATTTTTTCCTACGACTGCCTCTGAAAATGGAGTTTTACGCACGCTAGGCAACCTCTGAAATTAGAGTTTTTCGCACAGCGTGCGAAAAAGTTTTTCACACGCTTCGAGTTTTCTAACAAATGGAAATTACATATTTGGTTGTTTTATTTTGCAGTTGTAGGAAAAGCATTGTAAAAAACTCGTTTGAAAACCTTTTTTCACGCTTGCTCGACTTGTGGAACTCGCCTACGGCTCGGTCCAACAATTTGTCTCGCCGTGCGAAAAAAGTCGTTTTCAAAACTTGTTGTTTAAATAACTATCACAGTTTAGCTGTCAATTTTACAAGTCCAGATTCGACCAACTATGGAGTACTGCTCACATTTATGGAGTGCAGCACCCAAACATACCTTAATGCTTTTGAATACCGTGCAGAAACGAGCTATCAAGCTGATCAATGACCCCGCACTTACTCGTAACTTGGATGGTCTCGAACATCGCAGATCTGTGGGCGATTTATCTCTCTTCTACAGGTACTATCACGGAAAATGCTCTGAAGAGTTGGCACGTATGATTCCACCGAGAGTAGCACCTACCAGGCGAACCCGTCAAACAGACGGTAACCATGAATTTACGTCAAACTAGAGGCACCAAGAACCTCATTATATCAGAATTCATATCTCTGGAGAACAGCATCGCTGTGGAATAAACTCCCTGCGACGGTTTTCCCTGCAGGTTACAACCTGAACCGTTTCAAGACCAACATACATCGACATTTTCGCGCACTTGCCGCTTCTCGAGCGTGATAGGACATTTCCTTGCGAGTGCGCATATCCGTAAAAAAAAAAAAAACTATTTAAATATTTAAAATTTTTTTAAAGTATTATAAAGGTAGCTTGTCTTTGACCACATAAACTACTAGTTATTGACAATAGTGGGATCTAGCAATTGACCGTGGAAAGATTGTTCTCAAAACTATTTAAAATTTGAACTTTTCATAAGTCAAACACTAGTCCGAAATTTAATTGATGTTAGTAGCATGTCATAAAAACAATCCATCACAAAATTATATATTTTTATTTTGGAAAATAAATAAAATAAATTGTGTTCTAAGAAACAATAATTGACTTACCGGTCAATCACTTGGTTAAGTCACAAAAAAAATTGCACCAGTTATTGACCTCTATTTTTTTTATATTAAATCAAAAAAATTCATATGTGTATAAATCAAATTTAGAAGTATTTCTTACGCACCTTTAACAATTAAAACACTTTGTCACAACATAATAATATAACCAAATTTCAGAGCAATTTTCCCTCACCAACTGCTTAGCAAAACATTACGGAGTTTTGGTGCTACATTCATCAATCCTGAGGATGTACTGCAAAAGTGGTTATAAAACAAGTTATGATTTATCATTTCATGCCATATTTCTATACTGCAGAGAACATACTAGATGGCAATAATTAATACTTCAGGAATCTTTAATAAGTCATAGTTTTCTTATTTTAGCTCAAAAACTGTAAAAGTGGTCAATAACTGAGGCACGGACAATTAGGTAGATACCGGTGCCTTTACCTTAATTTAAAAAAAAATCAATAATTTAACAAGAACCTATTGTGAAAATGACCTCCCTGATTATCTACAACAGCTTGGAGTCTTCGGCGCCATTGTCCAATTGCCTTATTTATTATTTCTGATTATATTAATGGCAACCAGTGGCGCAGCCAGACATTTCGTCTGGGGGGGGGGGGGGGGGGGGGGGGGCATGCAGATAAAATTATAGGAAAAGACACAGACCACTATTCTTTGAACTTTTCATAATATGAGCTTTTGTCTACTTCATTATTTTTCTATTTTTCTCTGAAGCCTTGGGGGGGCCCGGGCCCCCTGGCTGCGCCACTGATGCCAACAATAAAATATTATCACTTCAAGCTGATCAATCGTATTGATCTGAATATTCTGTATTCTCATAAACGTTTTCCGGGCGGACTCTCTTATTTTTTCCAGGTAACTCGATGTTATCAGTGTCTCTGATTTGTTATTTAATGGAACCCTATTTGAGCTGTATGGTAATATTATTTTTCGTGATAATGTACTGTTATTTTAATATAACATGAGCGAAATGGAAATCGAAAAGGTATATTTAATAACCGCTGGCCGTTATTTATCCGTCGGCCGGTTAAATATAATTAACATGCCGCCGGCCGTTAAAATAACGGCTGCCGCCCGGGAGAGTGTTTTTTTTTAAATCCAGATTGGAAGAGGTGTGCAGTATAACGAAAAATCTAGAACGAAACACGGCCGATAACTGCAAATAACAGCAAATAACAGCCTCGGCTATCGCCTCGGATCACAAACTTCAACCCGGCCGCTATTTGCGACTTTTCGGGCTTATAACGTTAATAAATAACTATGACAAAGTACGTTTTTAATGCAAAACCTGAAGTTTTCCAAAATAGGTATTTTTTTCATTTTCATAGCCTCCTCCGATATTTTCTTGATATTTTCAAATAATTTATGTAGTAGGTAGTATAAGAGAAAAAAAATGTAATTTTGCAAACAGACCCAAAAGTTAATGTCTGTTTTTTTTTTTAAAGATAATTTCCAAGTCATAAATTTAGTAACTATGTTGGCAACACAACACAAGCCTTTTCTACATAAAAAATTTGAAAGCATGACAATTTTACATTGTATTGCCAACATAATGTCATTTTGACTTTTATATTCAAAAAAAAAACAGACTTTAATGACTGAAAATACTGCTTGGCTTCCCCTGTACATTTTGATTAGATATGTATTTTTCTACAACTACTAACCCCTAATATTCACAAAAAATTTCATAAAATCAGCCAAATAAAAAAAATATATTCAGTGCCACATTATTGGGTTCCAAATAAATTTGGCCCACAGTGGCAATCTAAAAACTAAAAACTACTAACTATTCCCGGCCTTTGTAAAATCCAGAATAACGCAGCTTTTTTCCCGAATAACACTGTACGTTCTATAATTCAGCTATGCGATTCTGTGCGCCCTAGCGGAGGCGCCCCTTACATCTCCGCCATAATAGTATGGTTACTAGTACTCCATCCCACACCTCTGCAATATGAAAATAACGACAAAATGATGCGCATTATAATTATTGATTAGCATGTAATGGCAATTTAAACACAAATGATCAATCTTTGGCACAGTTTTCACTGTCTAATATGAAGCTCATCATACAGACTTCAAATATATAATATTGGGTATTTTTTTTAGATTTTTTCTGAAAAAAACAAAAGTATGGCAATATTTAAACCTACCACCGAACAAGACTATGGCACATTATTATGCTGGGGTAAAAATGGAATTGGAATGCAAAATAAACCATGCGTATATCAGATCATTTCAGCGGGTGAGAAAAGCCATATTTACCTATGTCATGAAAAAAATTTATCATTAAAGTAGTTAATAGACTAGACTGACCAAAAAAGCTCTCCGTTTTATTATTAGAAGCATTTCATATTACTTTAGGGGAAAAGGTCTCACCCCCTATTTTGATCCTGCTGAATCCGAAACCAAAAAAAAAAAAAATATTAAATGTAAAGTACGTAGGTCCTGCTATGCTATACATAGGAAATATCCGAGGAAGTATCCATACGTAGATTTTCTTTATTATTCCACTCCTCTGTTAGAAATCCCATGAGACAAGTAACGATTTTCAGAATTATAGCGAAAATTCTCTTTTCCATTTGTTTAGCTAGAGAGAATTACAGCGATAATTCTCCCATGTTATTGTATACATGGTTGTCATGCTAATTTTTGATACAAACAAACGGTTTCTGATAGCAACCATTTATTTGTATTGATTGTTAAGATGTTCAAATCGTTTAATACATATTTATTTCCATATTTTTTGCATTCTCATACGTGAAATAATCCTCTAAATACCACTTGAGTTTTAAAATGAACCAGATAATTTTTCACTCATGCGTGTTTTCTTTGCAAATTTCACTCGTCCTACGGACTCGTGAAATTATAGAAAACACGCAATCGTGAAAAATTATCGGTAATATTGAAGCTCTCGTGGTATTATCCCCGAATATCTCGAAAAATAGTAATCCGATTTTGACGTTTTTGTTTTTTTTTTTTTGTAGTTATGCATACCCAAAAACGTCAAAATCGGATTAGTATTTTTCGATATATATTTTTAAGAAAATCCAGGTAAGGATATTCCTTATGCATAGCATAGCAGGACCTACGTACTTTGACAAGCTATAGTATCTGCTATCACAGACGAACGATCCTCTTTACATTTCAATTTTTTTTTGCAATGATGATAGATACCTTTAAAATATTGATATTTGGTTGAAATTTACAAAAGGGGCTGGACTCTGGAGCTACTGACTGCGTATTTAATACACCTCTTCAGGGCCTGCCTCGCATATGGTCAAATACCACATTTCTGGCATAAAGACCAAGTGGTATTCATCCTCAAGCTAGGACTTTATAGTTACGAAGCGGCTAGGGTTACAGGCACGTCAGTCTATTCTTATTTCTTCTAAAGCCGCTGGAGAAACTCTCAGAAACTGGTAGACACATTCATTATTGAAGGGGCATTAAAGGCAATGCCCATGCACCCTAACCAACACGCCTACAGGACTGCCATGTCAACTGAAACGGCTCTTCTTAGGCTTGTGGCAAGGCTGGAGTGAGGGATGTCTCACAAAGATGCAGCTCTAGGTGTATTTATAGATATAGAAGGCATAGAGAACACCATTGTTAAATGGATTTGCGGTGTTATTCTGGGAGGCAGAATCACTACAAGCTCGATTGGAAGTGCGAAGATCAGCTCAAATGCAGCTAGAGGCTGTTCTATCGCCCTTGCTGTGGTGCCTAGTGCTGGATGGGCTGCTTCGCACTCTGAACGAGGAAGGTATGTACACTCAAGGCTACGCCGCTACGCGGACGATCTTGTCATCGTCGTAGCTCGTAGGGTATCCAGCACCAATAAAGGGATCATGCAAAAAGCTCTTAGCATGGTCGAAAGATGGTGTATAATGACGGGCAGCTATGTCAAAATAGGAGGAAAAAGCCTGTTGCCCGAAAGCAATATGAAATGCTTCTAAAATTTTGATTTTCGAAAAACTTGACTAGATTATAAGTAGTATTCCTAAAATAAGTATTTGTATATTTTTCATCAGGAAAACCAGAAGCTTTATCCAACTGCTCCATTTCAAACCAAACATCCGACTCAATTTACATCGAATGCTCGGGAGGTTTTGATGGTGGTTTACCACAATTATTTATTCTAGAGGTATATGAGATGCGACATGAAAAATTAGTGAGCAATATGACGTCAGAAATGCCAGTATTTGTGGTAATGGGACTCGAGAGTGGCGCCTGCTTCGATATTATTCTATATGCTGCTAATAAAAAAGGACGGAGTTCTCTCACTCACCTTATGGGGTTTACTTTAAGTGGGATAGAAAAAAGCAGGGGTAAGTAGTAAGATTTTGCACTCACCTTTACCTCGACTATACACTCGAAATAATTGATCTCAGTTTGACCTTCGATCCTATACAAATTTTGGCATTCTTCGTAGCATTTGATTGAAACTGTTTGTGCTGCTTTGTAAACTTTAATATTAATCGCAATATTCCATTTTTCAGATTTTTTCCCTGTCCTTCTACAGATCACACCCCTACTTGGTATCCTGGTAGGAGTCGTGGGCACCTTAATAATAATAGCAGTTATTATTGTGATAGTGTTAAGACTACGTGGAGGTGGTGGAAGGGATGATAAGACATTTACCGACAGGGGCTTATCGATAGTCGGACGAAGTATGACTGAAATCAATAATGATAAAGTAAGATTTGTTGTATTTCATATTTCATTGTCATTGATAATAGTATATTAAGCACAGAACACATATCCTCACGGATAGAAAAGAAAGCTTAATGGACGGCGGGGCCTAAAAAAAAAGCTTCGGATCGCATCCGCTTGGGGACGCTGGGGTAAAACACATATAGCTACTACTGCTATGTGTTTGCTTGATATATCACCAGCGAATGAAAACACTGTTTTACTAATAACTCGGTTTAATTCTGGGCACTGAACATACAAATAAATCTAAATACTTTTATTTTCTTAACAACAACACGATATCATAATTGCGCGGCAACAAGCTGACTTGAAGTAAACAACAACCTGGGACAACTGTCTTCTCTCACGTCACGTCAGGCCGCCAGGGTTGTACACAATAGTTGAGCCATCCAGGGTTGAACACAATGGACTCGCGGAACAATGACGCCACATCTACTCCCCTCCCAGTGACGAAGCCACTTGTGGGAGGAACGAAACCTTCTTTTTTGAGTAAGTGCGAAGAGGGCGGTCCATGGTGAAGGATGACGCTGGGTGATTCTCCAGGGTGGATGAAACGGTATCGGGTTTAAGGGTGTAGGCTGGCTTCAGGGCGTCCACAGAGACAGTCTTCTCAACGCCATTGATTCGAATGCTGTACACTCGGTCATTTATTCTCTTGATGACTTCATGCGGGCCAGTGTAGGGCGGTTCGAGCGGGCGACGAACAGGGTCCACTCGGCGGAAGACATGACTGCAAGTTGCGAGGTCCTTGAGGATGAAGCAGCGAGATTTGATATGGTGAGCCGTAGGTGTTGGGCGGACTTTCCTGATGTGGTCCCGGTATTTTTCGAGGAAGACTTGGGGATCAGCTGGGGATGACTCAGAGGTGAAGAATTCACCAGGTATACGCAGGGGTGTCCCATAAAGGAGCTCCGCTGGTGAGGCATTCAGGTCTTCTTTCAGGCACGTACGCAGACCCAGAAGAACGGTCGGAAGCACTTCCGTCCAGGGCGTGGGTGCTTGACACATAAGGGCTGCCTTCAAAGTCCTATGGAAGTGCTCTACGATGCCATTGGACTGCGGGTGATAGGGCGTGGTGTGGATTACCCGCGCTCCTACAAGACGTGCAAGAGCCGAAAATTGTGAAGACTCAAATTGCCTGCCCTGGTCAGTTGTGATGGATAGTGGCGTTCCGTAGTTGCAAATCCAATTGACATAGAGAGCAGACGAGACGGTGTCAGCTTCCATGTTCTGGAGGGGTACTGCAACAGGCCATCTAGAAAATCGATCCATTATGGTTAAGCAGTAACGAAATGATGAGGTCTAGGTGAATATGCTCGAATCTGTTGTCAGGTACGGTGATGTGCTGTGGTGCGAGACGATTGTGTCGTTGAATTTTGGATTTTTGACACTGAATGCATTGGCGGGACCACTGGAGGGCGTCTTTCTTGATTCCAGGCCAAACAAATTTTTCTTTGAGGCTTCGAGCAGTGACTCGGCCGCTGGGGTGTGCCAAACCATGCACAACATCAAAAGCTTTGCGTCGGAGACTTGTCGGAATGTAGGGTCTGATGCGATCTGAAGAGACATCGCAGAGGACGTTGGCGTTTTCAATAACAAGCTGTTGCAGATTGAGCGATGATTCTTGTGGCGTATCTTGGTCTTCAAGCTGTGCGGCTTCCATGGCTTTAGGAGACAGTGACGTTGGCATGGAGATAGCGTTAATACGAGACAGGGCGTCAGCAACGGCGTTGTGTTCTCCCTTGACATAGACGATTTCTGTGCTGAATTGTGATATAAAGTCCAGTTGATGGAGCTGTCTGGGGGATGCTTTTTCAGCGCGCTGAGCAAAGGCGTATACCAGTGGGCGATGATCAGTTTTGATGATGAACTGGCGTCCTTCCAGCTGGTGACGAAAGAACTTTATTGCAGCAAAAATCGCTAGCAGCTCGCGATCGTAGGTGCTGTATCGCGTTTCGGTGGGACTCAACTTGCGGGAAAAAAAACCTATGGGCTTCCAGCAGTCGTCGATCAGCTGTTCAAGTGCAGCTCCAATGGCGAAGTCCGAGGCATCAGTGACGAGGGCGAGACTTGCAGAGGGTGAGATGAAGCTGGTACAAGTCGCTTTGACAATGCTTTCTACACAGTCTTGGTAGGCCTTCTCTGAGCTGGGTGTCCAAGGGATGGGCCGTTTGTCTTTTTTCTTGGCACCCTTCATAAATGCATTGAGAGGGGCTTGAAGTTCAGCGGCCTTTGGAATACAGCGACGGTAATAATTGAGCATTCCCAAAAACTTACGAAGGTCAGAGATGGTCTCTGGCTTGGGGTAGGAAGCGATGGCTTGGATCTTGGAATCAGGTGGTTTGTATCCGAGCTTGTTGATGGAGTAGCCGAGGTACAGAACTTCTGACTTGTTGATTTGGCACTTGCTGAGGTTGATAGTGAGTTTGTTCTCACGCAGAACATTAAAGATTTTGCGTAGATATTGCAGATGTTCCTCATGGGATTCCGAGAACACTATCAAGTCATCAATGTAGCATGCTGCGAAGTCAATACCACGGAGAAGGTTGTCCATATGACGTTGAAATGTCTGAGTGGCATTACGCAGGCCTGGAGGCATACCCAGGAACTCAAAAAGCCCAAAAGGAGTAGTTATCGCTGTTTTCGGTATGTCCTTTGGTGCTACAGGAATTTGGTGGTAAGCTCGAACCAGGTCAATGACAGTGAAGACACTTTTCCCATGCAGCCGCTGAAAGATGTCTTCTGGTAGTTGTATGGGGTACCGATCTGGCACAGTCTGGGAATTGAGCCTCCTAAAATCACCTGTGGAACGCCATCCACCTTGCTTTTTCTGGACCATGTGTAGAGGACTGGCCCATGGACTGCTGGAGGGACGGATAACAGCATGATGCAACAGGAGGTCGAAATCCTCTTTAGCCATCTTTAGTTTCTGTGAGTTTAGCCGACGTGGACGGTCATTGACTGGCGGTCCAGTGGTGACTATGTGGTGATGAGTTCCCGTAGGGGCGTCCACTGATGGGGCTGACCTTGGACGGGTGATGTCAATAAACTCTTCCAGCAACTTGCTATAGGGTTGACTGAGTGTAGGAGGTGCATATTCTGCATTATTGACAGTAGAAACAGTATGAAGTTCGGTTTCATGCATTTCAGCAGGAGAAGACAGTGAGGTGAGAGAGTCCAGAAGGCGCTTGTGCTTTAAATCAGGAAGGAGGCCATGATGTGAAAGCAGGTCGGCACCTATGATTGCTGATTTGACGTCTGCAATGACAAATGCGCACTTGAAGGATCTGCGGAGTCCAAAATTGAGTTTAAGAAAGTGTTGACCATACGTTTTGATAACTGTTGCATTGGCTGCATATAGCATGAGGTCAGCAGGCAGAAGTTTTCGTTGAAAGAAGCTTCTTGGAATCAAGGATACAACGGAACCACTGTCGATAAGGAACTTCATGCCAGTGACCTTGTCTATGACGCAGGCGACTTTCTTTAGATGGGAGACAGGTGCTGTTGACATTGCTGTCGCTTACCACCTGAACAGGCGACAACATATTTAGTTTTCCTGGCGCGGAGATGCTAGTGGCAGCTGAGATGTGCAGGGTTGCACACATTTTTGGGCCCGGGCACCGAATTTTCGATGATATCGGCATTATCCAGAAGTGACAGAACGCTCACGTGGTTGTCGACTGGCAGAGGTGAGACTCTGTCTGATGGCAGAAGTGAGGTCCTTCTGAGCAATGGTTAGTTCTGTGATGGCTTGTCTGAGTTCGTTCAGCTCGGAGGCTACTGAAGCACCATGTCCATGCTGGCGAGAGATCTGGTTGACGGCCATGATACTGCCACCAGGGATGTTTGTCATGAGCTCATCAGCTGCAGCAGCTAGTTCGTTAAGTGAATTGGCCTTGAAAATTTTCAGCAAGTGCTGAATGCTGACAGGCAGAAGGGCCAGCCATCGTATGCGGAGCACGTCTTCTGTAGCACGATTGCCGGCAAGGGCTCGCATTTCACGAAGCAACTGTGAGGGTTTTCGGTCACCTAGTTCTAGATCAGTGAGCAGTTTGTGCATCTGAGAGTCTTCGGAGGCTGTTAGTCTACTTATTAGGTTAGACTTGAGATTTTGGTACTTATCTTGAGGTGGTGGAGCCTTCAAGATGTCTGCAACTTCCGTGATTGTGTCCGGGTCCAGTGATTTTACCAATTGATAGTACTTGGTGCTATCGGACTGTATACGGTGGGTTTGAAAGACTGATTCAATCTGCAGGAACCATAGGTCTGGATGAGAACGCCAAAAGGGTGGCAGATTGCAGTTGTAAACTGCGTCAATGGCATAACTCTGCTGCTGGTTGAGCATCATGGGGGCTGGCAACGAATTTACTACTGGTTGGGCATATGCTTGCTGATAGCTCACCGGGTGATTTGTTGGATTAAAATGCACCGCGGGATCAAATGCTGTACTGCCGTGAGGGCCAGAAGGTTGAGGCATAGGAATACTCACTGACGAACTCCTGTCTGGTTGCTGGTTGGTAAAAGAGCTGTTTGCAGCCAATTGCTGATCAGGATCTACTGAGGAGTCGAAATTGCTTTGCATCTTGATTTTTTTTAGTAGTCAGACACGTCTTTTAGGTTAGAGGCCGAGTGGTACGCGGAGATATATCACGTCGGGGTCACCAGTTATAGCTACTACTGCTATGTGTTTGCTTGATATATCACCAGCGAATGAAAACACTGTTTTACTAATAACTCGGTTTAATTCTGGGCACTGAACATACAAATAAATCTAAATACTTTTATTTTCTTAACAACAACACGATTGCGCGGCAACAAGCTGACTTGAAGTAAACAACAACCTGGGACAGCTGTCTTCTGTCACGTCACGTCAGGCCGCCAGGGTTGTACACAATAGTTGAGCCATCCAGGGTTGAACACAACGGACTCGCGGAACAATGACGCCACACACAACTACAGGTGCGGAATGAACGCCACCATAAAATTATGCCACAGTCAGTTTATCTGTTAGGTACCTATGATGTGTCAATTTTTGTTAAATTATATTTTGTGTAAGGTACCTGACCCAAATAAGGCCATGTACCTAATAAGG